AATTTTGGAGATTAATCTTTTGTCAGTTGCTTCATTTGCAAATATTTTCTCCCTTTCTGAGGGTTGTGATTTTGTCTTGTTTATGGTTTCATTTGCTGTGCAAAAGCTTTGAAGTTTCATTAGGTCCCATTTGTTTATTTTTGTTTTTATTTCCATTTCTCTAGGAGGTGGGTCAAAAAGGATCTTGCTGTGATTTATGTCATAGAGTGTTCTGCCTATGTTTTCCTCTAAGAGTTGGATAGTGTCTGGCCTTACATTTAGGTCTTTAATCCATTTTGAGTTTATTTTTGTGTATGGTGTTAGGGAGTGTTCTAATTTTATTCTCTTACATGTAGCTGTCCAGTTTTCCCAGCACCACTTACTGAAGAGGCTGTCTTTTCTCCACTGTATATTCTTGCCTCCTTTATCAAAGAAAAGGTGACCATATGTGTGTGGGTTTATTTCTGGGCTTTCTATCCTGTTCCATTGATCTATCTTTCTGTTTTTATGCCAGAACCATACTGTCTTGATTACTGTAGTTTTGTAATATAGTCTGAAGTCAGGGAGCCTGATTCCTCCAGCTCCGTTTCTCTTTCTCAGAATTGCTTTGGCTAGTTGAGGTCTTTTCTGTTTTCACACAAATTATGAAATTTTTTGTTCTAGTTCTGTGAAAAATGCCAGTGGTAAGTTGATAGGGATTTCATTGAATCTGTAGATTGCTATGGGTAGCAGAGTCATTTTCACAATGTTGATTCTTCCAATCCAAGAACATGGTATATCTCTCCATCTATTTGTATCAACTTTAATTTCTTTCATCAGTGTCTTACAATTTTCTGCATACAGTTCTTTTGTCTCCTTAGGTAGGTTTATTCCTAGATATTTTATTCTTTTTGTTGCAATGGTAAATGGGAGTGTTTTATTAATTTCACTTTCAGATTTTTCATCATAAGTGTATATGAATGCAAGAGGTTTCTGGGCATTAATTTTGTATCCTGTTACTTTACCAAATTCATTGATTAGCTCTAGTAGTTTTCTGGTAACATCTTTAGGATTCTCTATGTATACTATCATGTCATCTGCAAACAGTAAGTTATACTTCTTTTCTGATTTGGATTCCTTTTATTTCTTTTTCTTCTCTGATTGCTGTGGCTAAAACTTCCAAAACTGTGTTGAATAATAGTGGTGAGAGTGGGCAACCTTGTCTTTTTCCTGATCTTAGTGGAAATGTTTTCAGTTTTTCACCATTGAGGACGATATTGGTTCTGGGCTTGTCATATGTGGCCTTTATTGTGTTGAGGAAAGTTCCCTCTATACGTACTTTCTGGAGGGTTTTTATCATAAATGGGTGTTGAATTTTGTCAAAATATTTCTCTGCATCGATTGAGATGATCATATGTTTTTTTTCCTTCAATTTGTTAATATGGTGTATCACCTTGATTGATTTGCGTATGTTGAAGAATCCTTGCTTTCCCTGGATAAACCCCACTTGATCAAAATGTATGATCCTTTTAATGTGATGTTGAATTCTGTTTGCTAGTATTTTGTTGAGGAGTTTTGCATCTATGTTCATCAGTGATATTGGCCTGTAGCTTTCTTTCTTTGTGACATCTTTTTCTGGTTTTGGTATCAGGGTGATGGTGGCCTCATAGAATGAGTTTGGGAGTGTTCCTCTCTCTGCTATATTATGGAAGAGTTTGAAAAGGATGGGTGTTAACTCTTCTCTAAATGTTTGATAGAATTCGCCTGTGAAGCCATCTGGTCCTGGGCTTTTGTTTCTTGGAAGATTTTTAATCACACTTTCAATTTCAGTGCTTGTGATCGGTCTGTTCATTTTTAAAACTTCTTCCTGGTTCAGTCTTGGAAGGTTGTGCATTTCTAAGAATTTATCCATATTTTCCAGGTTGTCCATTTTATTGGCATGTAGTTGCTTCTGGTAATCTCTCATGATCCTTTGTATTTCTGCAGTGTCATTTGTTACTTCTCCTTTTTCATTTCTAATTCTATTGATTTGAGACTTCTCCCTATTTTTCCTGATATGTCTGGCTAATGGTTTGTCAATTTTGTTTATCTTCTCAAAGAACCAGCTTTTAGTTTAATTCATCTTTGCTATCATTTATTTCATATCTTTTTCATTTATTTCTGACCTGATCTTTATGATTTCTTTTCTTCTGCTAACTTTGGGTTTTTTTGTTCTTCTTTCTCTAATTGCTTTAGATGTAAGGTTAGGTTGTTTATTTGAGATGTTTCTTGTTTCTTAAGGTAGGATTGTATTGCTATAAACCTCCCTCTTTTAACTGCTTTTGCTGCATCCCATAGGTTTTGGATCATCATGTTTTCATTGTCATCTGTCTCTAGGTTTTTTTTGATTTCCTCTTTGATTTCTTCAGTTATTTCTTGGTTATTTAGTAATGTATTGTTTAGCCTCCATGTGTTTGTGTTCTTTACGTTTTTTTCCCTGTAATTCATTTCTAATCTCATAGCGTTATGGTCAGAAAAGATGCTTGATATGATTTCAGTTTTCTTAAATTTACTGAGGCTTGATTTCTGACCCAAGATGTGATCTATCCTGGAGAATGTTCCATGCTCACTTGAGAAGAAAGTGTAATCTGCTCTTTTTGGATGGAATGTCCAATAAATATCAATTAAATCTATCTGGTCTATTGTGTCATTTAAAGCTGTGTTTCCTTATTTATTTTCATTTTGGATGATCTGTCCATTGGTGTAAGTGAGGTGTTAATGTCCCCCACTATTATTGTGTTACTGTCGATTTCCTCTTTTATAGCTGTTAGTAGTTACCTTATGTATTGAGGTGCTCCTATGTTGGGTGCATATATATTTATAATTGTTTTATCTTCTTCTTGGACTGACCCCTTGATCATTATGTAGTGTCCTTCCTTGTCTCTTGTAACATTCTTTTTTTAATAGTCTATTTTATCTAATCTGAGTATTGCTACTCCAGCTTTCTTTTGATTTCCATTGGCATAGAATATCTTTTTCCATCCCCTCACTTTCAGTCTGTATGTGTCCCTAGGTCTGAAGTGGGTCTCTTGTAGACAGCATATATATGGGTCTTGTTCTTATATCCATTCAGCAAGCCTGTATATTTTGGTTGGAGCATTTAATCCATTCACGTTTAAGGTAATTATCGATATGTGTGTTCCTATGACCATTTTCTTAATTGTTTTGGGTTTGTTTTTGTAGGTCCTTTTCTTCTCTTGTGTCTTCCACTTACAGAAGTTCCTTTAGCATTTGTTGTAGAGCTGGTTTGGTGGTGCTGAATTCTCTTAGCTTTTGCTTGTCTGTAAAGCTTTTGATTTCTCTGTCAAATCTGAATGAGATCCTTGCAGGGTAGAGTAATCTTGGTTGTAGATTCTTCCCTTTCATCTCTTTAAGTATACCATGCCACTCCTTTCTGGCTTATAGGGTTTCTGCTGAGAAATCAGCTGTTATCCTTATGGGAGTTCCCTTGTATGTTATTTGTCATTTTTCCCTTGTTGCTTTCAATAATTTTTCTTTGTCTTTAATTTTTGCCAATTTGATTACTGTGTGTCTGGGTGTGTTTCTCCTTGTGTTTATCCTGTATGGGACTCTCTGTGCTTCCTGGACTTGGGTGGCTATTTCCTTTCCCATGTTAGGGAAGTTTTCAAGTATAATCTCCTAAAATATTTTCTCTCGTCCTTTCTCTCTCTCTTCTCCTTCTGGGATCCCTATAATGTGGATGTTGTTGCATTTAGTGTTGTCCCAGAGGTCTCTTAGGCTGTCTTCATTTTTTCTCATTCTTTTTTCTTTAGTCTGTTCCACAGCAGTGAATTCCACCATTCTGTCTTCCAGGTCACTTATCCATCCGTTCTTCTGCCTCAGTTATTCTGCTATTGATTCCTTCTAGTGTAGTTTTCATTTCAGTTATTGTATTGTTCATCTCTGTTTGTATGTTCTTTAATTCTTCTAGGTCTTTGTTAAACATTTCTTGCATCTTCTCAATCTTTGCCTCCATTGTTTTTCCGAGGTCCTGGATCATCTTTACTGTCATTATTCTGAATTTTTTTTCTGAAAGGTCACCTATCTCCACTTCATTTAGTTGTTTTTCTGTGGTTTTATCTTGTTTCTTCATCTGGTACATAGCCCTCTGCCTTTTCATCTTGTCTATCTTTCTGTGAATGTGGTTTTTGTTCCACAGGCTGCAGGATTGTAGTTCTTCTTGCTTCTGCTGTCTGCCCTCTGGTGGATGAGGCTATCTAAGAGGCTTGTGTAAGTTTCTGATGGGAGGGACTGGTGGTGGATAGAGCTGACTTGTGCTAAGCATGTTTGATGTCAGGTGGGCAGAGTGAAAATTATGGCTAGGTTTCATTTCCTATTGTTTTCAGAAAAATGTATTCATTAATTACAAATGTGGATATAAGTTATTTTAAGGTGCTAATTTGAAAGTACTGCAGATAAGTATAAAGTAAAAGAAGACTAATTCTCGGGCACTTTTGCTGCATCATGGAAAATGGTGTCTTTTTGGCAATTTGATAATACATTTAGACTATATAAATTGCAATGAAACATTACATTAGGTAAAATGTTTTGAAAATACTTTTCCTTTGTTTTTAAAATGAAGGTTCTACCTTAAAAAATATGATTTCTTGATAACTTTTTTGAGGGTGATAAATATTTAAAAGTTTATAGTCAAAATTTATGAAATAGTTTGAAAACTTGGCATATTTATAAATGGAAAAATTTATCTGAAGTTTTAAAAACTGTCAGAGATAAGAGAAGATCTTTCATTTGAAATATAAGCATGCTACTACTAAATTTTGATGACTAAGTTATCAAAGTTTTTTTATATATAAAATTTAAATGGAATATATGTTCAAAATATGTTTATACATTTAAAGTAAAATTGTTGATAATTCACAGAATTTTAAATTATGCATACTATTAACAAATGATTTCTTCATTCTTAGTTTTTATGTGTTTTTGTTAAACTATACTTGCTGTTTAAACTGATCTTTTGTCTTTTGTTTTCTTTTTTCTAACAGCTCCTTCAGGTTGGAAGGAATACCTTTATTTGGAGGCATGTCAGTTCATTTTTGTCACTTCAGATTCATCATTATGACTTCTTGAGGCCAGATCTAATTTTGAAGTAACCAGAAACCTGTCCATCTTGGAGCAGCAAACCCCTCAACTTGGAGCACAAATGATCACTGATATGGTCTACATAAAACCATCTGCCTCTAGTCTGACAGCCATGAGCAGAGCCCTGGGGGCAAAAAAAGCCACAGCCTTAAATCTCTTTACTCAGATATTACCAAGAAGATTAAAAAAAAAAAAAAAAAAGATGAAAAGGACTGAAGAAGCAAACCTACAAAAAACCAAAAAGCAAACAAAAAAATCCATCTTATTTTACCATTGAAATTAGTCCCAGATGTGAACACCAAAAAATTTATATTCAGTAATTCAGCCAGTAAATTATAATTTATCATTTGGGAAGGTGGAAGTATAGAAATAGGTATCTGTAGCCAGAACTACTCAGCATTTCAAAATATGTAGACAAAAACAAAACAAATAAACAAAACTGAACAAATGAAGGAACACTGCAGCAATGAACAGTATTAGAACAGAATGTTGCTGTTTGCAAAGAGGACGTTTGCCATCTTCTGTACACATTCAAAGCCATAACAGAATAAGAGTATTGTCAATTGCTTGAAAATTTTCTGCATTCAATCCTTCACCCCATATTGGTTGAGAGAGGAGGGGCCAGTTCTTGCTGATTACTTCTCAATGAACTTCTACTATTTGCACTGTCACTTCCATTCAGGGTAATGATGTGTGCTGTTATTTGCACAGATGGTCCCATGAGTTTTGAGACCACAACAAAGTTTCTTGCAGGAGTCCAAAAAGGAAACATTTAAGAATTCTCCAGACATTGATTTCTCTTTCTTCTATTAAAAATCAGTTATCTAATAAAAAATGGACTTGTCTCAGATTAAAGAACAACTACAAAATAATAATGAAAAAAAATCAGTGTGGTCAAATGAATGAAAAAGGGTTCAAAAGGTTTTTTTAGTGAGGATCATTTTATATCATTAACAGCCAAGAAGTCAAATACAGTGAACTGTACACTAAACATCTGTGTTGAACATCTATTTGTTCTCTTAATTAACAAAACCATTTGTAATTTGTATTTGACATAAGAGATTTTTATAGCCATTTATCTATGCTTCATGGGAAAATGTACTAGACAAACAGCATTTTCAGTTTATTTTTCTAAATAAATGTGTTGTTTGTATTATTTGTAGTTGCTTATTTGATTTGGTTTTCATTATCTGGAAGACATTTTCTTTGGTCATTGGCAAGCTTTTATCATACTAATTCAGAACTAATGGAAGACTGAATTTCAAATATTTTTGTGGTATAAAATTGTGCTTTCTATTCCTTAAACTCTGAAGAAGAAGTGATATATTTTTCACTAGAACCTTCTTGTCAAGAGTTATTTTAATATTCTAGTTATGCTAAGTATCTGCAGTTAGTTTTAATATATTGGGGACATTCAAAACAGAAAATTTGAGTATTATATCAATAAGAATTTCCTCTAAGTTTCCTTCTTGGAAATCTGCTCTAAAAGATAAAAATTAGATTTTTTTTTTTAGGCCATTAATCATACCTAATGAGTCCTCAGTCTCACCCAGAGATCTGCTGAGAACTTCCATCAGTGTATATAAAAAAGACTAGGCAATCCTACTGGAGCAAAAACAGAATTCTCAGTCAACAAGGGCTTATTGAGTGCCCACAAAGTTCTCACCCTTACTTGAGACTCATCAGCTGGAGCCTGTATTTATGGTCATTGCTACCACCAGTAAGTAGTGCCCAGCTCCAACAAATTATGCTTTTCTTAACTGGAGTATAATTGACACCATTATGTTAATTTCAGATGTACAAATGTAATGACTTGATATTTGTATATATTGCAAAATAGTTACCACGATAAGTCCAGGTCACATTTGTTAGCAAACACAGTTACACATTTTTTTTCTTGTGATGAGAACTTTCAATACCCCTTCTCCTAGCAACTTTCAAATATGCAATAGAGTAGTATTAACTATAGTTATGTTTGTGATGCTCTGGAGTGTGGCCAGGGGAGAGCAGGAAGATAGTGCCAGCCCTCTGAGGTCTTTGGAAAAGATGCACTCAGCCTTTTGATGAGTGTTTTAATTAGAGACCCTCAGGCTGCAGCTATGCTAATCAGTTAACAGGTTTCTTTCATAGAAAGACTGATCTCCTGGGTCTGTTTCCTCTTGCTGTGCCGGGGTTGGAGGGGGGGGAGTAGCCCTTTAAGGACTTGTTCTCCCTTGGTTCAAGTCCTGTGGGACCCATAAGCACAAGCCCTACTGGCCACCAGAGCCAGGCAATGTAGAAGCGTTCCCTGGCAGCAGCCGCAAACATTGGGTTGTCAGACAAGGAGACAATAAACTCCTTTCTGGGACACACCAGTGAGATGGAGTGAGGGGGAAGGAAAGAGAAAAGACTGCAAGTACCAGCCTCTATACCCACCCACCTACCCCCAGGCCCTTCCTAGACCCCTAAACTGTGTGCCGGACCAGAAGCCTGCGCCTCAAGCCGAAGCTCCAGGACAAGTAAGTAGGCCCCTTTCTCAGAAAGACTGGGGGTGTGTTTCAGTCTGGTCTTTGTGCAGTGCCCTGGGGGTGAGGTCTGACAAGAAATGACTCTCTGATTGTTACAATCCCATAGGGCCCAGGATCACAAGTCCCCCAGCCTCCAGAGCCAGGCAATTAAGGGGCGTTCCCTGAGCAGCAGCCCCCCCAAACCTAGGGCACTAGACGTGTAAAACCTCTCCTCAGAGAGATACTGGTGCTCTGGAGGGAGGCAGAGGCGCAGTGTATAGACGGCGCCCACAGGCAGAAAAGAAAGGAAAAAAAAGGCTTAGAATTGGGGAGAAAAAAAAAAAGATGGAGTCTGCCGGTTAAAAGGAGCCAGGGGCGGAGCATATAAGTGGCTCCTGCTGGGGGAAGAAAACAACACAGATGGCACCTGCCAGCGAGCCGGGATGTGAATTTAGATGCCTGCTCCCTAGGCCGATGCTTTAAGCCTCATTCACTTAAAAGTCTCCGAGCTTCTGGATCGGCTGCCTCTGCGTTGGGCGCCCTGGGGCAGGTGAGTCAGAGAGCCCTTTAAGAGCGTTCCTCAGTTTGTGGGTCTCGCGGTCATCGTTTTCAAAGCTAGATGTTTTGGGGCCTCGTTTCTCAGGCACAAGTCTTAAAAGTTGAGGTGCTCTATGTGGGGTTCAAACCCTTTGCTCCTCAGGGAGCTCATGGTTGAGTTGCCTCCAGACTGTGGGTCTCTGCACTGCATGGGGGGTTTATGGTGAACACTGTGTTCCATCCTCTCCCACCGGCTTCACTGTGGGCTTCCTCTCATTAGCCTGGTGCAAATGAGTTGCTCGGTTTTTAGGTTTTCTTCAGAGGAAAATTTTCAATATATAGCTAAAGATTCGGTGTGTTTGTGGAAAGAGATGAGTCCAAGATCCTCCTAAGTCACCATCTTACACTGGAAACCCCACAAACAAATTATGTTCAACAAATTAAACTAGGTCTTTAGGTTTATTCCCAAGCTATGATCTGAAACCAAATTCCCATTATATTGTTCTTCACACTTAAACTGATTTACTCTCTGCAATCTCTCTTGGTAGTACTTAGAGTATCCTGTAACATGATGAAGAAAATTAGTTTGTTACGCATGCTTTGAACCCATTAAAATTAAGACATTGTACATGAAAATAACTCAGCTAGGAATCAACTTGCCGGGTCCGGTGGGATATGAGGCATTGAAGTATGGATACCTGGACTCATTCAAATTCTTTTAAAACCCATGCTGATTGCTTCAAGCTGTGAATTATTTAAGTTCATAAATAGGAAAGTCAACTGTTCTCCAAACATCTAACAACAAAATCCATCAAGAATAAATGATAAAAAATTACAGTTCTTCATTTTATGAGTATTCTTAGCAATAAGCAGTACTATATCTACTGTAGTCTGTGCAGAGTGTCCAAAAGATTTTGCAAAGTTGTGACATTATCAGGCCTGCTATTCAGCAGGGTAACTCGTAGTAATTTATAAAGGGAGTTGGAGTGAGGCTAGGGAAGGTGGGGCACAGACCAGAAAAAAAGTCTAAAATTTTCCTTGGATTTAGTTTATTTAGTCTCTTCCACTTTAACTACATTTACTTTTCAAGTAATTTCACTCGTCCATCACTGGATCTTCTTTCATCCTCTTTAAGAGGATAGCTTTGCTATCTTCACAATTCAGTATTACTTTTGCAAAATCTATTAAACAATATTCAGTTCCCATTGAGAAGTACTATTATACTTATACATATTTTTAGAACTTAGAATGCCAGTGAAGTTAATCTCTGCTTTCTTACATTTGATTTTAGAGTACAGGTGTGTTATTTACATGCACCTCTCTCCTTGCTGGCCCCAATTCACGAAATTATCAGGTTTATTGACATGGGTAAGATAATTCTCTTTATTTACTGAGTGCCCACTCTGGAACATGAACTGTCTTGGGCAGTAGGAAGAAACAGGTTACAGATCCTAGTCTGATGGACTTTATAATCTAGTTGGAGAGAAATACATTAAACATGTAATTTCACCAGTTAACAAAAAATACAACTGTACTAAATTCTATGAAGAAAGTTATATGGTATGCCCAGACCCTATATCCAGTGGATCTAACTCAGTGAGGGAAGTAAACTTTGCCTGAGATCTGAAAGGTAACTAGTTGATAAATGGGGCAAAATCATGTGAAAAGCAGTGCAAAAAGGAAAGAAAATAGGATGTCAGACCACCTGAAAACAAACCTAATTAGCTTGGAGCAATGAGAGTAAAAAGCATACCGCATAGAAAACTGGTGAGATGGAAGCCAGATCTTACCTAGTAAAGCAGGGAACAAGCATCCGTGAAAGGTAAAAGTAGTAAGTATACAGAAATAACAGAGGTAATAGTAAGTCTATCTGATATAACAAATGTGGGTTTAATTTCTGAAAAGACCAAGGCTGATCCCACTCCTTCCCTGCCACACAAAGGTTTTACTTCTACTTCCAAACAAAATAATGCAGACAGTTACATAATACAACAATGGGTTAAAGTATATCTGATTGAATGCAAACCATAAGAAAAAGGGGTTCAAGATGAATATCAAAGAGAGCCGAATTACAAATAAAAAATTAAGAATGACACTGGGAACATTTTTTGTTTATATAAGGTATACTTCTCAATGAAGGTATAAAAAATGCTTAACTAGACACCTGTGAATTCATAAAGACTTGAGCAACTACAGGTAGACTAACAACAGACATTTAGAAATATGTTGACACCAATTTCTATAAAACTAGGTTTGCCTATATGTGTCAGACCTGACAACTCTCTAAAATCAAAAGGGATCCAGGCTTTTTAAAATTCTCTGCTCTGACATCCTTAGAATATTACCTTTGTCCTTGTGCTGCAAAACAGTTACCAGAACTCCAGGCATTACATTCATATTCCAGGCCACATGATTAAGAAATAGCTCACTTCCTCCTTTTTAAGGAAACTTGCTAAAACATGTTCACACGATATTTTAGTATATTTGTTGTTCAAACTGGCCACACCAGCATAAGGAGGACTAAGGAATATAGTCCCTGGGCTGGGTACATTGCCACCTTAAATAAACTTGGTATTCTGACATTACAGAGGCTAGGGAGAATGAATGATGTTGTACAAAACTATCTAATTCTGCCACAAGACTTGAAAAATGTAGCACCGACTCATCGTGCCATGAGTTTTTTGTTGGAGATTTTAGACACTAAATTATGTGCAAACCTTAGGGAATAAGATTTTCAACTCATATCTTTGGGAGCAAAATAACACAGTGGAGTCATATCCTGTCAACATTTAATTTTTATGGATTCTACTATACTCATGTCTATCCCTTTCCATGAACATATACCCAACATTAGTAATGACATGGAAAACCTCTGTGTGTCTCCTGTTGTGAACATCTCATCACACTGACTGTGATTCTGGTCCAGAAGGCACTGTGCATGTATAGATGATATAAGAGATTTTCACAGGACATTTTGACCCTTGGGCTTTCACACTTTGTCGCTGTGATATTCTAATGTGTTGGTAAATACAATATTTCAGTAACTCATTTGTGCACACCTTAATGGAGTGTTTTATCAGTTGTTTTGGGGGAAAAAGGAGTATTGGAATTGTCCAACATCT